GCGGAGCCAGCCAGCGCAGTCGCTCGCAGTTCCTGGGTTTGCCGAGTTCGGCGCTGGCTGTTTTGCTGCTGCTGCTGTTGCCGCCGTTCCACGCCGGTGACCGCCTTCTGCATCGTGCCGCGCATCCGGGGAGGGGGTGGCGGGTGAGTGATCATCATCATCATCCTCCTCCTTGGTTTGATCTTGAAATGAAGGCCGGTTCGCAGTGGGTGGTGAGTGGTGACGATGATGAACTTTTGTTGTTGTTGGTTTGGTTGTCGCAAGAGAATGACAGCGAGCGAGCCAGCCAGCCAGCCTTGCTCTTTCTCGCTTTGCCGGGCGGGCGGGCGAGATTGACAGCATTTGTGTGCGTCTCCTTTTTTTGCTTCTCTGTCTCTCGTGCGCCATTGAATTGGTTGTGGGGGGGGGGGTGCCCGACAGGATGCGTCGGGCACCCCGCGTGTACCCAGCCGTGTGCCCAGCCGTGTACCCAGCCGTGTACTTAGCCGTGTACCTAGCCGTGTACCCAGCCGTGTACCCAGCCGTGTACTTAGCCGTGTACCCAGCCGTGTACCCAGCCGTGTACCAAGCCGTGTGTCCAGCTGTGTACCTAGCTGTGTACCCAGCTGTGTACCCAGCTGTGTGTCCAGCTGTGTACCCAGCTGTGTGTTCAGCTGTGTGTCCAGCTGTGCGCCCAGCTGTGTAGCCCGCGTGTACCCCGCGTGTACCCAGCCGTGTGCCCAGCCGTGTACCCATGTACCCAGCCGTGTACCCAGCCGTGTGCCCAGCCGTGTACCCAGCCGTGTACCCCGCGTGTGCCCAGCTGTGTACCTAGCCGTGTACCCAGCCGTGTACCTAGCCATGTACCTAGCTGTGTACCCCGCGTGTACCCAGCCGTGTACCTAGCCGTGTACCTAGCCGTGTACCCAGCCGTGTACCTAGCTGTGTACCTAGCTGTGTGCGCGTGCGGGAGACGCGGCTGGGTGAGGTTTGTCCACGCAAGTGAATAACCACGGCGCCCCAGTGGGGTACAATAACAAGAGGGCGCCGTGCTTCGTGTTGAATGGAATACGCGAGTATGTGTGTGTGGGGGGGGTAACTCCGCTGAAAAGGCCGAGGGAGGGTCGCGGCCACTTTCTTGTTGTGCGCTCTCGCTCGGTCTCTCGCTCGGTCTCTCCCTCTCGCTGTTCGGCGGACTCGGTTTTGTCGTCGGTTCAATGGCGCGCGACGGTGCCTGTGCCCTTCCACACTTCACCACCCGTACCTACCCACCCCGGCGACGCCGACGCCTCGTGCAGTAGAGACGCGACTGGAGCGTCTCGTCGTCCACAGTGCTCGTACACGGAGAGAGGGAGGCGGCCCGTTGCCTCTCGTTCTTCGTCTCTCGTTCCTCGTCTCTCCTTCCTCTTCTCTCGTTCCTCGTTCGCTCGACGGCCGCTTGCGCTGGGCACAGCCGGAATCGCTCGCTCGGTCGCTTCCTCCGCACAGCAACGGCGCCGCGTGAGGCCACCAAATCCTCTGCGATGCGCCTCCCAACCACAACCCCCTTGACCCCCCCCCTTGACCCCCCCCCTTGATTCCCCCCCCCTTGACACCCCCCCCCCTTGACACCCCCCCTCCCGACTAACAACAGTCTCGCAGTCCGATTCGCGCTGCGGTGTGTGTGGGGGGGGCTTTCACTTTAAACACAGATGCAATTCGTGTCCCCGGAAAGGTACAATGATTGCGGATGATTCAGTACCGCACTTTTGCTGATTCACCTTCGCGAACGCACTTACCAAAAGGGACCGGAGTCTCAGTGACAGCCGTGTGTATGTGTGTGTGTGCGCGCTTAGCCATTATGATGGCAGTATTCTGGCGGTGGGGATAGGGGGTATCCCCAACCCTTGAAAGAAATCATCATTCGTGCAATTGTAGCCGAGGAGAGGAGGCGTAGCCGCATTCGCTCGCGGCGTTCCAAGATATTGCCCCCGTGGCGAATATTTCACGTTAGCAATTCATTGTCTTCGCGGTGTACGGGGGAAGAGGGGGGGGGGGATGGAGTCATTGTTTTCAGTGTCAAGCGATGGATGAGCAGCAACAGAAATAGACGAGGCCCCGAAGCCTGTCCGCAACGATTTGATTTTAAAATGAACGCCTCGTGTGCTCATAAAGCCTGATAGCCTGTCTCGGTTATGGGGCACCTCAAAGGCTGGTGCTCCCATCCGTCTATCTGTTTACCCGTCCAGCCATCCATCCGTCCAGCCATCCATCCGTCTAGCCATCCACCCGTCCAGCCATCTACCCGTCCAGCCATCCACCCGTCCAGCCATCCATCCGTCCAGCCATCCATCCGTCTAGCCATCCACCCGTCCAGCCATCCATCCATCAACATAATACATCCATCTGCCAAGCCGTCCACCCATCGATCCACCCGTCGATCTGGTGCCTGCCATTATTTGCGCGGTCGGTCACGTCGACTTGGGAACGTGGGCAGACATTTTTTGTTGTTGCACAAAAAAAAATTCCCGACGGAAAACTAATTTGCTTAGGTTTCGTTCGCCCCGTTGGGTTCCTTTATTACGGAAGAGTGGCCCGGCCCAGGAACCCCAGCAGGTGAGACGTGAGCACAAATAAACCGAGGGCAGGGAGGACGGCGCATGGCCTCCTCACTGTGACGGTGTCTTAACCAGAGAGCTACGGGGAAGCGGAGCGAGATGGAAAATATTGCATGGCTTATGAAAGGCACCGTAAAAACCCCGGGGGGGGGGGGGTGAAAGCGGGTTTGCAAATGTGCACACGCGGCTTTGAGTGCAGCCGCGCACTGCGTGGGTTATGTAATGGAAATGACCAAAGGACTGAGAAAATATATATGAAAAATATAAATAATGGTGAACAATGCAGAATGAAATGTCACAATGTCCCCAAAGGCGCACTTGGAGGTGTTCGTCGTTGTTAGTGGTCATCGTTCAGAGGCGGAAATTCCACATTCTTACGGCCAGGAACAGTTTTTTTTCTTTCCAAAGGACAACCACTACTCTGGGTCAAAGTTCAAATCATATGCAGTGTGGTGTCATGGATTTCACGCGATTAATCCCGACAGATCTTTGAGCCTGGATAGTGCTTGAAGGGATGCCCACCGTGCACAGCAGGTGTTATAGGCTGTGGGAGCTACATTGCGGGCAGTGGGGAGCAGCGCAGCAAAAATCCATTGTTGTGCAGTACTCCTTTCCTGCGCTCCCGTGTCGAGATTTCCCATCTTCGACCAACACCGCCGACCAGCGTGGTGAGGTATAACGGTCATGTGACCTCCAGGGCACGAGGAGGCCTTTCCTCTCGCAAGCGGTGGATTTGCCGCGAGGGGCTTGCTGCACTCCGTCGTTGGCGTTGGCTAAAAACAAATAAAAACGATCGTTGCTGGGAACTTCGTGTCTTCGGTGACGTTGCTGGGAACTTCGTGTCTTCGGTGACGAGGGAAGGCGAGCGTGGTGACTGGCGGCCTTACCCCTTTTTGGCCGAGGCACCCCGTGCGTACCTGGACAGTCACTTTGGAACCGTGCGGATGAGCCGTGCCCTAATGACGCTTATAATGTGTCGTTACACACACCGCTGTTTGCACGAAATATTTTATTTGTGGCCTGTGTATGTACGTTGAACTTCTTTCGCACCCTACGTAATATAATTTGGAAGTGCGGTGGTTTAAGCGTCGTTCCACAATCGAGCTGACCTGGGTTCAATACCTGATTTAATGCTGTCTGTAGCTGGTCGAGAGTTTCTCGATGTAAAATTACTCGAGTGAATCATGGGTAGCGATCGTCGGCTGCTTACTGCGAAAAATGGGCAGGACCCTCCTGAACAAGAGTCACGAGAAATCCGCGAGCCTTTCCTGGGTAAACAAGCATGGCAATAATAATATTATTGTGTTGACTCAACCTAAAAATGTCCCTGGGACAGTGACGTCGTGGGTGCTACGGCAACAGCTGGCTCCACCAGCCGTCAAACAACTGTCCTTTATAATAGGCATTCACCTAACAAGATGTCATCATGGCAGAAGCCGAAATGCCACTCGCGGCATTCTCCAAAGACGTTTCCCACCAGCCTAACTGCAAAGTGCAAGGCCGCCTTTAAATCATCTAGATTGAAAACTCATTTCTTTGGAACTGCTTTTTGTGTTTGGCTTGTTGTCCTTCGAACCGCACCTCCGATCAGCACGGTTGGCTACGTACGGTGCAAACGAAGTTCAACACCCAAGCTTAAAGAGGCATGGTTACTACGAGCGTGCGTGCGTGTGTTCCAAGTTTGAAAGCTGCCTGGTGCTTTGCGGAACCTATACTGTAGATTTCGCTCGTTTAAACAAGAAGGTTGAGCACCACTGTTGCCATTTAATTAATGTGAATAATTAATTCACTATTCATTATCAGTTACAGGGTTTAAGGTCACAGAGGCATACATAAAATATAAAGGATTAATATTTAATGGCGTATTGGGGCAGGGGGGGGGTGGAATGGTTTAAGGAGCCTTAAAGGATCAGTTCTTTAGATTCTACCGTCGGCTTATTAACGCCGCGCATGTCACATTCAATAGCGGTATCGCTGTCGCGACCCGACCAGAGAGGTTGGGAACCGATCAAAACAACGAGATTAAAAAGGTCTGCTGAGAGCGGAATCGCTTCGAACGCCGCCTCCCGTGCGTTGCTTCGTAACGCTCGGCTTGGCCCGTGGGAGTTTTGTAAAAGCCTCCCGTTATTTCGCGATTTTGATAGGCACTGGAAGTTGTGTTGTGTTTTTAAAAAAAAATATATATCTGGCTGTAGAGAATCCCAGGCGTGTGTGGTTCCACGCGGCGGCTCCTAGCCCCGCGTTCCTCGCGTGCTCTTCCTGTTGGGCCCTGGGTGTCTCCATGTGTGTGCGGCAACTTCACTTCCTCACCGGCGCTGTGCTCAGAGCGTGTCGGGGTTGGGGTAGAGTGGGAGTTGGGGGGAGCAGGGGTGAGGACGGTGGTGGTGGGTGGGGGGGGCTGTTCGTGAGTCTGTACTTCCATAAATCCGTCACGGTATTCGCTGCAGCTGCCTTCACAGAGCGATCTGGGGAAAGTAAAACTGGGCCCCTTTGTTAAAGGAAAACTCCGTATGAAAAAAAATATGAATAGGTTTTAGCCTTTCTGGCAATGAAACAGGTGTTCAGATGTTCAAACACCAAACGGAAACCTTTTGCAAAGAATCGTGTCCGCTTTAACCGCACGTACTTGTGGTGAACATGCAAACACACATGCTCTGATAATAAATATATGGCATTGTCTTTGAAACTGATTAGCCTGCACCAGAGACAGCCTTCTTTAGGGCCTAGTATCACCAGTGTCACACCATAGAACGCCAAAAGACACGGAGGTTCCGTGTCTGTCTTATCTGTGGCCAGTAGTTGGGGTATTCGCGCCGTGGATATGTGGACAAGCCCATCGTGGCGAGGCTCAACCTTGGCGTTTGGAGCAGTGTCGTCGTGAGCAGCCCTTGAAACGGGGTGGTGGGGCGAGGGCATATTACGGGAATTCTCGCCGGTTCATCGCTCGCGATATGAAAGTGCTGCGCGTGAAAACGGACGCCTTCGAATGAAACCCAGCTGTCTTAATATTTGGAAACCGAAACGCGTTTGCCGAGTCCGCGCCGACACGTGTGCCCACGCGGAAGAACAGGCGAGCCGGAGCTCGAAATCCGTCGCTGCCAAAGCACTGCTCACTCGTTTATTTAACAACAACAACATCATAACAACATACAGATGGAGAATGTTGCTCCATCTGGGCTGCGTGCACGGTGAGCACCAGCCGCACCAGCGCATGCCGCATCTCTGTCACTTCGAGCCGTCCCGTCAGCTGTCAACAGAGCCACCAATCAACAGCTGACGCATATCAAAGTGTCCGAGAATGCGCAAATGTTGTATGCTGATGGCACTTCCGCAAGAACGCGAGAAACATAGTGCACTGTAGTCCCCCCCTCCCCTACAATTACTGTGACATTAATTTTAATGATGTCTCATTGATTTATGGTCCGATTTATTTACTTGTCTAATCTCATTATGTAAAACGGCTCCGTTAATGATTTCGTGCAATGTACAACGCAGAATGGAATACTATACGTGTGTATGGTACAATTAGTGTAGGTGTCTGAAGCTGCTGCTAGAGGCTTGTCCGATTGATAATCTACATCCGCGCTGTTTGCAAGGGGGCCGAGTCGCTAAGGGATTTTCCATGTCGGCTCCACTCCGCTATCGATTGCGCTGACGGGCCCGCGAGATAAATGGCACGGCGCACTGTATGTTCAAGGAAAAGATGCGGTAGTTGATCACCACCGCGCTCGCAAACCTGCGTTCGTTGGGGCGGCGGCGGTGATTTAAATTGACCTCTGTTCAGAGCGCGCCGACAAACGCCGCCGCGGCTGCTTCTGCCGCCCCTCGTATCCATCGCGGCGCGGAGCCGGGGGCCCTGGAAGGGCTTCGGGTTTAGCGAGGTGGGAGGGGGGGACGGCGGGGCACCGCGGTTTTCTTCGATCGCAGGCGAGCGAGGGCTGCCCGGGTGTGTGGGGGAGGGTGCCCCGCGGAGCGACGTGAAGGCGGTCCTTGATCACGTTCGCAGAAGCTTGAGCGGCGGCGGCGGCGGCATTCGGCGCGCAGGTGATGCGCAAGCTCCCCGAGGAAAACGAACCGCGGTGGTTTAGCCCGTGCGAGATTAATTTGCTTTCTTAAAAATAAATCTTATGTCGGGGAACGCAAGCAGATGGTGAAATGTGTAATTACACTTGTAATTGCGGGAGGAGTGGAAGTCGCTTGCATCCCACGCGAACAGCGACGGGGAATTCTTAAAGGGTCGGTGGAACGCATTCCGTGAGCGGTGCAGGCAAGCAAGCCGCCAAACGCCGCATGTTCGGAATAATGGAATGCGAAGGTACGTAGCCGGTGTACTCGAGCAGTTTAGCGGATGTGAAATATGTATGAGTGGGGCCAGTAATGTAATTCGGAATGATTAAAACAACAGGAGCGTGCGTGTTTGACCGAGTAGCTCGGAGCAGCTGGTACACGGTCCGTGGGTGCGAAGGGGGGCAACGGTGGGGGGTGGGGGGGGGCATTCTCGTGAGGTTTCCTGTTGGCCGGGTGTCGTCACGGCCGCGCAGGAAAAGGCTGGTGCTGAAAGCGGTGTTGACGTTTGCTTTCTTCCGAGGGATTATAAACAAAAACAAGCGGCAAATGAAAGCTTCCTTCTTGGCACAGAGCACACGCTGGGCACCCAGACGACCCGGGGTAATCCGCGTCGAAGAAAGTTCACGAATGTGTGCCCCCCCCCCCTCCCGTACGAACCACAATTACCTTGCTGATCGTTTTTTTTCAGGAGCATAATCCGCTGCGCAAACTCCAGCCCTCGCAGGCTAACCATCGAGCTGAGATGGCCACTGCATAGCGGCGCTTTCAGATGTGCTTCTGCAGCCCGTCTGGAACGCTCTTCCTTCCGATATTGGGAAGCCACGAGAGCTACGCACTTTTGAATATAAATGATTAGCACGGTTGGATACGTACGGCGCGAAAGAAGTTCAGCGTATACACACATGTCGCAATAATCAAACCAGCATTGGGCAGCGCTCCTGCGCTGGTGGTAGAAATGCCACGTCGCTTGGAGGACGAATCTATCCATAAGACAATGGCTGTCGACTTCTCAATTGCACCGTACTCATTTGGCAGCAAAAGGTCGACGGGTAATTTTCACTAGATGGTGAGAAATCGTATTTATCGTCTTACACCCAGCATTGTACATGTCAATATTGTAGCCCTTTGCCAATCCGCTGCTAGATGAGCGCCTCCCCCATGCTGTGTGGGTCGTGGGGGTTAGTTGGCCATACTTCACCCCTTTTGCTCATCGCAGAATAGTCACGGTGGGGAAACCATTAGACGTGGGAGTATATGAGTACTAGTCCAACATTGTATTTCATGTAATGTCCTCTACTTCCCACGACGTAATCCCACAAACTGTAACATTTGCTATACGTATGGAGGTCAAAAATATAATCTGGTGCCCAGGCTCAACCCTGTTTAGGTTCTGGGCTCTGACAAGATCGGGCGCATTCCAGGTGATTTGGTCAAAGGTGACGTGCAACATTAAAGCCCGTTGAATCAACTTGAGTGCCATTTCTTTGAATTGAGCTCCCGTCTCTGTTGGGGGACGCAAATGTACGTACGTGGAACTTCTCTCGCACCATACGTAGCCAAATGTGTTGCTCAGCGGAGCAATCTGAGCGGCAGTTAACGATGGTTCATCCGCGTTAACTTCACCGCTGCGCGTGACAGCGGCAGTGGCGAACACTGGAATCCTCTCGGGGCAATAAAGCTGCCACGCTTTCCTACCCATCTGCGACGACGACAACAACAACAGCAGCAGCAGCTGCTCCTTGAGGACACTGTAACATAAGTTATGCATGGAACGTGAATAATTCATCTGGAGGGAAGTAGGGGGGGGCACAAGTTGCCTTGGTTTTGCTCCAGTGGGGGAGTGGAGGGAGTGAGGGGGTGGGGGGTGGGGGGTGGTTGTTCCTTTCTCGAGCGTCAACTTTTAATTGCTGGACTCGGCGCCGCGTTTTACAATCCGCGACCGTTGCTGTGCGAATGCAGAACGGCGCCGTGGCCCTTCACTTTAATCCCTGTGCGATGTGCGGGCGTGATGTCGCGCGCCGATTATGGTACTGATACAGCGCTCGGTAAGAACTGTGCAGTGTTCTCGGAAGAGCTGTTAAAATAGAACCCTATGCCCGGCGGTGCAGAGGAGCCATGTGATGTTCCGTTGGCCCATTTGCCAGTCGCACAAAAATCCTATAGCGGTTAAATCTTGACTTAAAGCTTTCGTGACTGCAGGAATTCATATTCACGTAGACAGGTTCAAGCGTTCGTCATCAGGAAGAGAACGCTTGTGTTGCGATTGAAACGTCGTAGTTTTTTTCGTTATTTTTTGTTATTTTCTTTGAACCTGTCTACGTGACTTTACCGAAAGACCCAAAGAATATCCTCTCGTGGTGTTGTCTCTGCGTTTTATCTTTGCAAAGCGTTATGGTGCAATTCACATGGTGGCAGCAAAATGGGTTTACTTTTTCACTAACAATGGGGGCAATTGTCACGGTGCAGGCATCTCAGCCGTTTCGGGTAAATGTAGAAAAATATGTTCGAGGAGTTGTTTTTTGTGTCGCCTGCTGCTACGGTTTTTTGTTTGCCGTGGAGGCTGCCCGCTTCGTTGGTTTCCATCGGGGCCTGGCGCCCGTGCCCAGCCCGTGGTGGTGCGGGATGGACGCAGTCGCCGACAGCCGGAACCCAACCCACCACCGCCTCCATCGTCGCTCGTGGAGCTCAAGGACCCCGTGCCGCCTCGCGGCCTGTGAAGCCGTGCACTGCACCGCTGCGTCTGAGTGGGCGGCGGAGGTCTAGACGTTTCTTGTCGGCACCTCAAGACAACCTGACGGCGCCGAATCCCGTGCACGTGTTCCAGCCGGCAGCCTCGTGGGTGGCGAGCCGAAGAAGCTCGCGCTTGGGTCTCCCGAGTCACACACTGTATATGGCATCACGCAGCTCGAAAAGGGGTTCCTAATTTTACGTTCGCACGTCAGTGCCGCGGTGGGGGCGGCTAAAAATGGAGACTCCTACAATAAACACCGCAATGTTTATCCAAGTAAATTTGTTTATATTAATAAAATATCAGGGATGTTTCGGAGCCGTTGGAAGGGGGGGGGCGGGCTTTCACTCGCAACGCGAAGCAGATGGTCGAAAGTGGCTCGCGAGCAAACCCCGGGCACGGTGGCGTCGCGCATTCTTTACCCCCCCCCCCTCCCCCCGCGGCATTGTTGCGCCGCTTGCGAGCGCGGTGCCCCCCCAGTGCCGCACGCGGCCCTCGTCCACTACCGCCTTTTCCGCCGACCCCCCTCGTGCGGGCTGCGCGGCAAAAACAACTCCGTTGTTTATGTACAGCTCAATGAGCCTTGGCGATGGCGGTGGCGGTGATGGGCGCGTGCGTGCGGGTTTGCCTGCGGGGCCACGCTCTCTCTGTGATCACAAAGCGCAGGTCGACGGATATAATGGGCAGAGCCGGAGTAAAATTTAACGCAAGTGTTTTAAGTCCATCGTCCGAAAGGGGACCTTCTGGTGCAAAATTTTGTCCGCCAGCGTTTGATTCCGGCAGGCCAAATTCTTCGCCCGGTTTCGACATTCTCGGTGCTCGTCAGCAGAGTCATCGCCACGTAGCTCGAAAAATATCTATACGATTGTCGCGCACCGTATAGCATCTACCGCACACGTGATACCCAGCCTTGGCAAGAACCAATTTGCAGCCCTTTGTGCATTGCGGATCCGCGAGGGGCCTTTGGTGGAAATGTGAGAATTGACGTTAAAGGAGATGGTGGCGGGGCGGGCGGGCGGCGGGGGGAACACCCGCCCTCGGTTCATTAATGTGTAATAGACAGAATAGCCGCCGTCTAATTTGAGCCAAGCGCGCACGCAAGGTCAAGTGCCATCGTCGTTGGGAAAACGCGGAGAACCTCGAGGTAGGCAGCGGCGCGCAGGTCTTGTTAAAATAGCGGATGGCTTTTTTTTTCCCCCCTCTGTCTCCTTCTGCAAAGCCCATTCACGCATGGAAGATGCTCAATGGGCACTTCACTCAATTGCACGCCATACACAGGCATGTACGCCGTGACAGAAGTGATCGTTTCTCCCCCACCTCCTCCTCCCGCCACCAACGACGAACCGCGGCGTGGACGCGATGTCGCAGACGGAGATCCGAGTCGCTCCCTCCGACCGTTTTGGGTGCAGTCCCTCCGTGTTATTTTTTTTGCCGTGCCGACGTTGTTTTCTCCCTCGCTCTGTTATTGTTATTGCCCAAAAGCTCGCTGCCACGGCAACGCAACCGCTGCGAGTGCTCTTCCTTTTGTTTTCCTTGTGCACTTTCTGGTTGCGTGGTTAATCGTCGGTACGGTTCGATTTTGGCAGGCCCCGGCACCTTGACCGCTCCTTCCCACCTTTCCAGCCATCCTGGGCCGTGGCGCAGTTGTGGGGATGCGTCTCAAGTCCTCTGCGCGTGCGGCATCTGTCGCTGAAATGCGCGCCGCCGTTTTGGTTCGCACTGAAAATGCCACTGGGCTTTTTCGGTCAACAGATTCACGCGCGCGAGATTTAAATGTTTAGACCACTGATTGTGTGCGGGGCCGAAGTGATACTCGGTGGCGGATGGCAGTGACGGATGGCGTGCATCAATCGTGATGGTCGTGTGCCGAACATTAGTGAAGATGATACATTGTAAAACTATATAAAATACTTCTAGATTTAAAGCTTTCGTGACTGCAAGGATCCATACTCTTTGGTTCTATTCGGTAAAGTCACGTAGGTAAAAAATAAAACAACAAAAATCACGACGTTTCGGCCACAACACAAGCGGCCTTCATCAGGTGAAGGGACCAGACTGTCTCGAGGACAGTGCTGGAGTGAAACACAGCCATGCGCGACAACCGTATAAGGTCGCGGTCTGAGCGTGGCTGTGTTTCACTCCAGCGCTGTCCTCGAGACAGTCTGGTCCCTTCACCTGATGAAGGCCGCTTGTGTTGTGGCCGAAACGTCGTGATTTTTGTTGTTTTATGTTTTACCTACGTGACTTTACCGAATAGAACCAAAGAGTATATAAAATACTTTCCGATTGTGTTACCGCGGGCTTATCATTCTGAGGCTCCTTTTTAAATCGTCAGCGGAGGAGAAATACCACCCCATGACCACCACGTCAAAAATTCGTCCCAAGAAGATGACACCGTTAGAACACTACAACTACTTCAAAAGTCACTTCAATAAGCCCGTCAACCCGCACTAGAGGGTGCTGCTTAGCGCTCTGCAAAGACATAGTCGTTCCCTTGCATGTCAGTCATCCGATGTTGA